TAAATTTACTCAGGCCTGTGTGGTTTGGCTTTTTTTTTTTTTTTAAAGTAATTTTATGCAATTTTCCCTTTTTTTGTCCTTATGTGTAATACCTATCTGAGTAGCTACTGTTTGGGTGAGAGGCCATATAGCTACAGCGTGTTTCATCAAAGGAAGACATTTCTTAGCAGGTGGGAAAAATAAACTCAGAATGCCATACAGTTGAGACCTAAATGGCTTGCACAGTTGCTGCTACCTGTACAACTGAACTCCCCATGGTAACGCTGGTGGTTAGCCACTTTTGGACTAGACCTCTGGACAGCTGCCAGGGTATTTCCAGTATCAATATCGTTATTATGTTTTTAAACTTTGAAGTTAATAAACCGAGGAAACATCTGATTTGGGCAATTGTTGGCAACACTCGTTTTGTGGAAATGTGTGTTTATGACAAGTCCAGTGGTTTGTTTGCAAGAGTGCATGTGTAGCCATTTCAAGTATACGTTGAAGAGTTAGCTGCATTGCAAAGGCTGATGGCAGTATTTTGTGCATGCATTTTGAGTTACGCACTTACGCTAAAATACCCCATGCATATCTTTTAAGTGCTTAAATTTTTTGTATGTGCTCAGGACTTGTTTGCCCAGGTGAGCGATATATTTGTCAGTGCTTTGTTCAGGGCTGCATTAGAGAAGTGCTTTAAAGCCATGGTGAATCCTTCTTTCTTTTAATAAGCAGATATACAAAAGAGTCAATAAAAATCTTCATTTTCTTTCATTCCTCACCCATGTGAATTTAGAGGCTCGAAACATTCACATAGCCCTGGCTTCTTAAGTCCTCTTCTGGTTGCAGATAAGCCAGTTGGAGGAAGTAACTCCACTCTGCTTTCCTGCTGGAGCTTATGGACTTCCTAGACCCCAGGCTGTATCTATCAAATAAACTAGCTTAATTTGAACAATAGTGTTTCTTCAGTATTCCTAATAATTTTCCCAGAAATGTTACCAAGCTGTTGCACAAGCAGAAGAGCTGGCAGCTGGGGATGGGCAGAGGTGCAGCTACAGTAGGGCTTGAGCCAGCACATTTGAAGGTGTAGAAGAATTGGCTAGCGTGTTTTGATGTTTTTATTTAAAGTTGCTGCTTGGTAAATTAACTGAAAAGTAAATAAGTTGTTAGTTTAATCAGCTGTAGGATGCTTAAAGTCTGTGCTTAAGTTCTGCATTCCCCTGGTGATCAGAGAATTTCTTTAAACCCCAGCTTTCATGTGGGGGGAAAAAAAAAAGTTATGTTTCCAACTCTTTTGGTATGAGGAAGATTTGAAAATATAAGTCTGTATTGTGGCAGTGAATTAAACTATGATAAAACAAATAAATGAAATTTAAAATTTTCAATGATGCAGGAACAGCTATAGTAGTAATATGTGGAAATTGTGTGTGCTGGTAGTATGTCTTTAAATATTTGTGGTATTCCAGTTGTCTTTTCTTTTTACTTAAACAGTCACCTGTGTTCATTTACAGAGGGATACCCTCTCAGCACTTTGAAATAGTGAGTCAACCCAACAAATTAGTTACGCAGAAAAATCCCCTCCTAATACAGTCCAAAAATTATTCTTGTGCTTCAAGAAGATAAAATGTCTTGGTTTTTGTCTATGTAGTACTATGGCCATAGAAGTATAGTGTTATGCATTTAATACAAAAGTCACGATAATGATTGTTGATTGCTCCCACTGGCACTTTAGGAAGATTGCACCTGACTGGTGAGAGACGATTTGCTTCTGCAGTATATGAAAAACCTTCAGATGTGATTTAAAGCAGTGGGTACAGTGGAAGAGAAAGTCCCTGATGTTAATCCCAATGATACATGTTTTTACCCAAAGCTAATTTTTTTTTTAAATTAATTAAGTTACTTTGGCTTAGAGGTTACATGAATTTTAAGAGAGACTTAAGGAGTTTTTAGTGATTTTAGAGTATCTCAGAGAGAACTTTGTGTTGGTGCTGGAGGGAAAGCTTTCAGTCTGATTTCCAGAAACATATTTAATCCCCTTGAAGTTGATAGCAGAATGTGAAATTACGTATCTTCATATGGTAACAGGAGGTGTAACTGATCTGCAGAACTGTTAAAGTCAGTAGAAGAGAACACCTGCTCCTTTGCTTCACAGCAACAATGCACAAACTTCATTAAAATCTGAATTCCAGCACAAGTGATTCTTCAGCAGAAATGCCTCTCTTAAAAAAATAAACAAATAAAAAACAACAAATGAAAACTTAACAGAATTTTTTTTTCTACTTGAAAAGAATTTAATTGACTTTGCTGTATGCTTACAGCATGAAACTAGCAATAATAAAAAGATGAAAAGGTAAGGTTGTGCAACAAAGAACTGGGACATTTTCATATAAATAAAATAGTATGTTTGCTTATTAAGTTTTAGGTTAAAAGGAAAAATGGTAGGTGATAGATGTCATTATTGGTAAACAAAAAATGAAGGATATATTCTAAATTGCTTTTGTTGGACTGTAGATTCTGGTTATGATTTTTCAGTATCAGAGATTTTCTTTTAAAAGGATTTTGTGCATGCTATCTGATTTTTTTTCTGTGAGGTACTCTTACTGGTTTTGACACTGCTTCCTTGATTCTGTGTTTGAATGTATAATCTAGGACACTTAGAGACTCCAACTACCTTTGATCTGGTAAGTGAAGAAATCTAGGGAAA